GCATTTCAATGTCAATTGCGTTTCGTTCCTGTTATTGTCTTATCGATCATCTACTGAAGTACATTCTATGCCTGACCATCGTCATATACTACTTATGTGGATGTAAGCAACCCACACCACGGCAGCGACTAGTATGAGTTTTATCTACTAATTCAACACACGTGTCTTTTCGACCGCATACCGTTAAGTGTTGTTTACAGTTTATATCTGAATTCTTGCTGCTCACTTTTTATTATTATCCTTTAACAACTTTTCATGATTATTATTCAGTTATTATTATGACCTTCATGTTTTTTTTTTTCTTCACATCTGTGAAGCAGACAATTATCTTTTATAATTCAGACACGTAAATGACTTTCATCCCTCTATTCTTCTGCAACCCCATGATTATTACGCAGCCCCACTTGGTATTTGGAATTTCAAATCACTTTATGATGAAATCTCCTCTATCTTTCTAAAGACATATTCATTATACAACTATAAATAAGAATGTAGAGACCGATCAAATGACTTCTTCTAAAAAAATTGTTTTCACTGAATTCGCTTTGTTTTTATTCAATGGCACAATGGGTCATTTTAATTTTAATTTGATTCTTTTCTATTCAGCACTACAATGTCAGTGTACAGTAATGAAGCTCCGAGCACCTGAAATAAACCTGGATAAAGGTCATAGCACATGTCGAACGCCTTTTAGTATGTACTATAGTGAGCGACTCGGTTAGTTGACTGGAACCTCCGCTGAAGCAAGTTCCTCGATGGGATACGTATAAATTCTCAGTTCAGTTAGCTTCCAACTACCTGCAACTACCCAAACAAAGTTATAGATTCAACCACAAAGCATAAAATATGTTTGAATTCGCCCATAAATGCAATGTTGGTAAGTTCAGTTTCGCGGTTCCTATGATTTATTATACAATCATTGTGGAACACGAAGTCTGGATGAGAGATCCTAGTTCTAAATAGGGTCATTTTAGCTAGACCTGCACTATGTTTTATCACTGAGTTAGAAAAAACACTATTCTATAATCTCCACATATGAATAATTGCCTTCTTCGCTAACGAAGAGAATGAAGAAACTAGTGTTTCAACAAATATCGTGACATGAGACATGTTTCTTCCGGGTTTCGCAAACCCAAATACACGTATAACTGCTATCGGTTATGATCATCGGAAATCTTTAAAGAGTATGTATGTGTTTGTTAAGAATAATTCTGATATAATGACTGTTAGATGAACAGGTTTTTTAAAAATGAATCTCCATCCTTCTCAAATGATGAACTGTGTTTTTACTAAGTTAATTTTTTTATCATCTGATTGTATAAAGACATTTCCATATTTATCACTGGAATTCGGTAGAATAGATTTATGGGCGCTTATTGACCACTTTGTAGGCAAGGCAAATTCAAAACTACTGTATATGTTTTTATGACCTATACACTTGTGTGGTGTTTGTGTGAATCAATGATTCTTTTGTACTTCATGACCGCTTGATTTCGAATTCCAAGTACAATACATTTGTTCGTGCTCATATAGTTCTTCTTTGTTAAATTGAGCTATTTCAGGAATTCCTAGCTAGTATAAAAATTCAAATACTTCTAATTATCACACTGGCATCGCTATGGAACCTGTCATGGAACAATTGGATATACATTCAAATTTTGGTCCTTTTGAGGATCATATGGAAAGGTTTAAAGTTTGGACTATAACCAGGGGAGATATTGAGGATGTTAATATTGTGGTTTATTTCCTTACACTCATCAGAGAAACCTGAAGAATACTGAAAACTTTGGCATCTCTGGATAAGCCTATCTCACTCCCTTATACAACTCTCAAGGAACTGCTATTAAATCATATAAAATGCACCAGTTTTGAATATCGTGTGAGAGCCAAATTTCCTATAATGATTCGTAAGAGTAACCAAAAGGTTAAGGAATTCTTACTTGAATTGCAAGGAAAAGTTGCGAAATGCTATTATAGTGATCAACTTCATGTACAGATGAGAGGTCGATTAATTTTAGGAATCAACATACCATGTCTGAGAAGAAAGTTATTAAGAATGCTGAGCTGTTCCTTTCAAGATGCCATAACTGCAAAAATTACTAAGCAGTGACTGAACTTCATATTCAGTCGATAAAAAATTCTAACACTTTGCTCAGTCGTCATGATGAAATACAGTCTCAGAATCGATCAAACTTGCGTTCGTTTGATAATGATTCCTATTCTCGTGAAAATATGAAAGGTGATTCAACAAGTAATTGCAAAACAAACAACAAAGGTGAGGACAAGTTTGACAAATGTTTATTCTGTGGCAAACTTCATTCTCCTAATTCATGTGCATTTCTGATGTGTGGGCGAGAATGATAATAATTGGTTGTCTTGATGAGTCAGACATTAGATAGGATGACAAGTGTTATATGTGTTATATATATTCCCCTATCCTTATTATGTATGAACTGTTCCTTGTTGATGGATTGTTATTGATTGACTGTTCCTCGTGTTGGATTTAGGTGTGAAAATATATTGACGTTATAGTCAGGCTAATCTCGTGTTCTAGATCTGAGTTGTGTGGAAGTCCAGTAGAATAGACACTGGGTGGGAATCTAGTGTAGATATTCGTCTAAGATAAATTAACGTCCCACATACGTGTAAAAAGTGAAAGGACTGTTATAACCAGAACCCGCTAAAGTTATAACAAGCATCATCTACGTTTATAACAATTTCATAATGCTAAGTGTTTTAAATATGGCAAGACAGAATACATCCAGTCAGCATGCAAAACTACTGTTCACTGTTCCTCAAGTGGTACTAAGTCTTGTAATTCAGACCTCAATAATTTGGTCACTCTTAATGATCATTTATCTTTATCCACTACTTCAAAAGGGAATGTTCATATTCAAAACAATTAGTGCATTACTTGGTTCATTTCATGACCCAATTGTGAACACAAGAAGTATAGAGTTCATCATTTCACTCAAGAACTTGAAATCTTTAGATCCTAATGTTGTGGTAAGATCCACTGAAGTCTCAATATTGGGGACTACTGGACACAGACTACTCATACGAGGATGTTGTGAATTGCTGATAAGAGATGATAATTCTTCCTGCATACCTTGTGAACTTTTCGTTAGTGAAACATGACTATCGAAATTGGGTTGAAAAAATTTGAAAAGACTTTAATTGGAATTGTCTTTAATAGTTTGTGGAGAAAATTCTGATGCTTTACTTAAAGATTTGATAGCTGCGTAGGCCAAACGCAGCGGTGGTATGAAAATCCAGCATATAGAACTTCAAGTATAGGGTGATCCAGTCTTTCTTAAAAGACGAGTAATTCCCTAAGGTCCTCAAGGAACAGTACGTAAGACATCAGGCGAATTGTATGCGAAAGGTGTAATTGAACCGATTCAGTCTTCAGCATGAGGTACTCCTATTGTCACACCATTGAAGTCGGTTGGCAAGACCCCTAGAATGTGTGGTGATTATAGACTAACACTGAACTCTTCTATGTTGAAGCAAACATGCACGACAGTAGAGGTGAAGATATTTTAAATCGACTTCGTAGTTCTAAAGTGTTTTCGAAAATTGACTTAAAGGATGCTTGACTTCAAATCCCTTTACATCAATCTTCATCTATTTTGAAGACAATGAACACTCCTTCTGGTCTGTTTCAATAAAACTTCCCCCATTTAGTCTAAGTTGTTCTCCAGCCATATTTCAGGAAGTTATGAATAAGGTAGTCAGTATTCTTGAATGTGTTGAAGTTTATCAAGATGATCTTGTAGTTCATGGTACTGATAAAGTAGTTTATGACCAGAGACTTGTTGCTTTATTGTGTCGTTTAATTGAGAAGAATATTACAGTTAATCCAAAATAGGCGACCTATTTGAACATCCCCAAACAACCAATTAAGGGGAAATAAAACAGAAAATACATTTGAAAATAAGTCGGAAATAATGCAGAAATGCGTCAAAATGTCTGTTTTTTCGCCTGTCCGGGGGAAATAAATCTGAATTTCCCCCTTTCTGTCTTCTGTGTTTCAAATGTCACTATATTGCCGATTTTTACCCTAAATATTCGACAAATTGCCGATTTATACAAATGACTTAGGCATAAGCCACCTGTTTTTGTCATTTAAATATTTCAGCAAATTATCTAATTTTGTTTGTTTTAGTACATCATTATGAATATTAATCGCATAACCTTATCTGAAAAGTGTACAACCTTTCGCTGTACAAGTTACAAAAGTCCCAATAAAAGATATCATGGTTGCTGATGCATCAACCAATAAAGGGAAAATAAAGGCGAAAAAGGGGAAATAAAGCAGACTAAAGCGTAAATAAAGAGGAAATGTCGATTTTTCGCCTGCACGTCGGTTATTTAGGGGAAATGTCGATTTTTCCCCCTTCCGTCGTATATTTGGGGGAAATTTGTAGGCAATTAGGCGTAACGTGTAGTATATAAATAAACCGCAATCTGTACCTACATTTTCCTGAGTGTGAACAAAATTAAGCGTGGTTAAGTTGAGTTAATGAATATTATCACTATAACGCATGCAATAAAATACGGACACAGGACTTTTTATTTTATGTATATATACTTACTTTTTCGCTTGTTTAGCTAAAGCGTTTTGACATGCTTGGTCGTCATCTCAAATAACTTACGTGATGCGGGTGAGTGATGTGCTCTTTGCTAACTGTTTACCTTGTTAGTTCTATAACATGAGTTTAAGCAAAGTCGGTGAAAGAGCTCGTAGACGTAGGGCAACTTTGAATTTGCCAAGAGCCCTTGGATGTTATAGATCTACTTACAACAGATGGTGGAATAAATTACGGACAGATTTCCTGAGGAAACATAACTTGCTTTCGTTTAGTGACTTTGTTAATGAAAACACGATTACAGGTAACTGACTTCCACACGAATATATGTAGAAATGATAACAGTTGACAGAGAAAGCAATTGTCATGAGATTTCTTTAACTGGAATACCTTCCACAAGCTTTACCAATGGAAGGCTTCTGGAAGATAATGGTACGTGTATAAAGTTAATACGTTAACAAATTTCTTATAGAATGTTATAACGTCAATTTGTGCTCTCACAAGTCCGTAAATCGTAAAGAGCAGATCAACAAGATATTAATGACTTTAATGACAACAAAGTCTGAGTATCCGAGATGCTGATCGGATACTGAATGATTTTCGAGTTTTTCTTCCAGACTTACCGGCCAGCATTAGAAGTTACCTGAGGACTTGTACAACCAAAGTTCTTCAGCAATGCTGTTTACAAACACTTCGGATTGAAGACCAATCGGTATGAAAAGCGTCGGAGTGTAGATTGTTTCTACTATATTTAGGCCCATTAATTCTGCAAACTACTTTGCCCAAACTTTTGTATCTTAATTTCAAACGTCTAGCTCCATCGCCTTATTTTCTTGCACATCCTGAATTACATAATAGGGTTATAGTATCTGTCAAGATGGATTTTAGGAATTTTCTGAAAGAATATGAATGGCGTTATGGGTGTGAAAACTTAATTCATAATGTGTATTTGTTGCAGCATATTCCTGACGATGTTCTTGCACATGGACTTTTAAACACTCACTCAGCATTCCCATTCGAATCTTACGTGAGACAAATTAATAAATCCGTGCATAGTAGGCATTCAGTTGCTAAACAAGCTGCTCAGCGTTACGCGGAAAGAATGTCATTCTGCAATAAGCCTCAAGTTAGCATATCGACTAACAATACTCAGGTAACCGGTAAGGCGGACTTACGTAAGAAGAAATAATGTATAGAAATAGTAAAATAACTCCATTTAAGTCAGATAATGCTGTGGTAGTTAACGGAAAGCCGGGCCTAGTAACTGATATACAGGAGAATGGACTTTTAAAATTCTAGCTATTCACAGACTCACACTACTTTAAAGATCACTTCCCTTCTAGTGAGATAGTAATATTTAGATGCTCCGTAGTTAGTAGTGAATACAGATGGGTTACGATTAAAGATATTGATTGTAAATGTGTGGCAATAAATTGTGTTCATTACATATTGTTCCATTGCTGCATACTTTCGTGTGATTGTGTTTCCTTTAATTTCCTGTTGTGTAATATTTAGCCTGATAACAAAAAATATGTCATCATAGACGTGCCTAGCAAAAGGCAGCTTGTTATTGCAGCTGAACACTGGGTTGTTGGCAAAAAACTCTGTCTCTATCCAACAGACCAAACTGATATGCACCTACAAAACAACGACCGACCAAATGACAATTGGTCAGTCTTGAAGTGTAAAGTTGTTCACAAATGCGGTAAGTTACTAACATGCAAACAATTACTTCCTATAGATAGTCTCCAATCTGCCAATGATTTGTTGGTATCGTTCAAAAACTCTGATGTTTACCAAACAAATTGTTTGTCGGATGAAAACATCTTGCCATTAAACTTTGAGGAGCAGAAAAAGTCAGTTTAATAATCTTATTATCAATTCGGTTGACAGGGATGTCGCTGAGATGCAGGCGGGGAATATCCACGTACAATATCCCAAGTTGCGGATGTTCGACCCTGTTGTCTCCGATTGCCAAGTAGGTTTCTTTACTTTGTAGATTGAATTAAGTAGTTTGACACAATTAAACATCTCTCCCTCAACATCCGAATCTAGGAGTGTAGACAGCGCGCTTGTGGCTGAATAAGTCTTACTTGCTTACGCCTGTTACCCCTCGTCGAGGAGCATAGGCCGCTCACCAGCATTCTCCATCCAACTCTGTCCTGAGCCTTCCTTTCCAGTTCTTTCCAGTTGCTATTCATCCTTTTCATATCGGCTTCTATTTCCCGGCGTAGTGTGTTCTTTGGCCTTCCTCTTTTCCGCTTCCCTTCCGGATTCCAAGTTAGGGATTGAGTCGTGATGCACATTGGTGATTTCCTTAATGTATGTCCGATCCACTTCCAACGTCTTTTCCTTATTTCCTCTTCAGCTGGAAGCTGGTTTGTCCTCTCCCATAAAACGCTGTTGCTGATAGTATCCGGCCAATGGATGTTGAGTATTTTGCGTGGACAACTGTTTATAAATACTTGTACCTTCCTGATGATGGCCGTAGTAGTTCTCCACGTTTCAGCTCCATACAGTAGGACTGTCTTGACGTTCGTATTAAAGATTCTGACCTTGAAATTGGTTGAGAGTTGTTTTGAGTTCCATATGTTCCGCAATTGTAGAAATGCTGCCCTTGCTTTGCCAGTCCTTGCCTTTACATCTGCATCCGATCCTCCTTGTTTATCAACGATGCTCCCCAGGTACTTGAATGTTTCCACCTCTTCCAGAGTTTCGCCATCAAGTGTGATTGGGTTGGTGTTCTCCGTGTTGCATTTGAGAATCTTGCTTTTTCCTTTGTGAATGTGGAGGCCTATCGATGCGGAGGCTGCTGCTACATTTGCTGTCTTCATCTGCATTTGGTCGTGTGTATGAGAGAGGAGGGCTAGGTCATCTGCGAAGTCCAAATCATCTAATTGATTCTGAGAAGTCCATTGTATTCCGTATTTCCCTTCAGATGTCGAATTCGTCATAATCCAGTCAATCACTAGAAGGAAGAGAAATGGGGAGAGTAGACAGCCTTGTCTGACTCCGGTCCTTACTGGAAATGCATCTGTCAGCTGTCCTCCATGCACCACTTTGCACTGTAATCCATCGTATGAGTTTTGGATAATGTTGACGATCTTCTGAGGAACTCCATAGTGTCGAAGAAGTTTCCACAATGTTCTCCTATCCACGCTGTCAAACGCCTTCTCATAGTCGATGAAGTTGACGTACAGTGATGAGTTCCACTCAACTGATTGTTCAACGATGATCCGTAGTGTCGCAATCTGGTCTGTGCACGACCGATCCTTACGGAATCCAGCCTGATGATCCCTAAGTTCGGCGTCTACTGCGTCTTTCATCCGATTCAGCAGCACTCTGTTGAAAACTTTTCCTGGTACTGATAACAAACTGATGCCTCTGTAGTTCTCACATTGGCTCAGATCTCCTTTCTTTGGTATCTTGATGAGATATCCTTCTTTCCAGTCCGTTGGCACTTGTTCCTCTTCCCAAATCTTTTTGAATAGAAGGTGAAGCATGTTTGCAGTTATTTCAATGTCTGACTTCAGTGCTTCTGCTGGTATATTGTCATGTCCTGCCGCCTTCCCACTTTTGATTTGTCTGATGGCCATCTTGACTTCTTCGATCGTTGATGGAGTGACATCTATTGGAAGGTCAGTGTGGGCTGCTTCGATGTTCGGTGGATTCGATGGGGCTGGTCTATTCAGCAGTTCCTCAAAGTATTCTGCCCATCTTTTCCTCTGTTCCTGAATCTCAGTGATTGTCTTTCCTTCTTTGTCTTTGACTGGTCTCTCTGGTTTGCTATATCTCCCTGCCAATTTCTTCGTTGTATCATATAGTTGTTTCATATTCCCTTCTCTTGCAGCTTTTTCCGCCGCCGTTGCTAGTTCTCCCATGTATTTCTGCTTGTCGGCTTTAATGCTTTTCTTCACTTCTCTGTTTGCTTCTGCGTAGTCTGCTTGTGCTTTGACTTTCTCTGCTCGTGTTCGGCTGTTGTTAATTGCTAGTCTCTTGTTCTTCCTTTCTTGAAGTTTGTCCAGGGTCCCCATAGAGATCCATGAATAAATCACCGGTAAGGATATATCGTCAATTATTAGTGAGTTGAATACAAATGTAGAGCAGCTGCTTTCGCAGTTCGCTGAGCGCAAACATCCGCGTCAATTTGACTGTGGACTATTAGGCCAACAGTTTTCTCTGTCATCTGAAGAGGAACTGGGAACATTGGACGCTTATCTAAAGCAGAAAGATGTAAGGGACAGATTTGTAAGCACAACAACAGTAATTTGTTCGTATTACAGATGGCCATGTTGACGCGTTAAATAGATGATGTGCTTGCTTTTTTTTATTTGAGGAAACCTGTTTGATTTTAAATGCATTTGCAACTGAGCACATGTACCTTATAAATAAAACATCACCTGCCTTTTTTTCTAGCTCTTTTCAGATGACACGGGCACCTGACAATTGAAATTAAGTTATAACAATTGCTGCTCTGGTATCTGCAAACCATTTATAACGTTGTACAACAATACACTTTTTGTTTTCAATAAAATTTTATGAACATATACCATATTTTACGTACATTACACTTTTCGTGTGCTGTGTTGTCGGAATGAAGACGAACACAGGAGATGTTTGGTGTAATGACGAAGGCGTTTTAAGAGTGGGTGCAAAATTACATCGGTGTGTATAGGCGAAAAGTAGACAATTTAGCGACATTTGAAGCACAGAGCGACATAATGGGGGAGTTCCGCTTCATTTCCCCCGGACAGGCGAAAAAGCAAACATTTAGGCGCATTTCCGCATTACTTCCTTTTTAATTACCAATGCATTTTCCCCTTTATTGGATGTTTGGGTGAAAATTCTATATTGTACCGAAAATTTAGTAATGAATAAAGCTAATAATAACAATAAATAAATGTTCATTTTGTGCATTTGGTTTTGAATGTCTTGGATGTCAAGTTGATGGTAATGGTTTTAAATCAGATATGAAATCATTAGGTCCATTGACAAATGCACCATTTCCAAAAAAACTTACACGACAACTTTTTTAATTGTATTGCTAATAAACGACCCAGCTACTTATATTGCTTAGTATCCTTATACGATGACATTTGACAAGACCCCAAATCAGAACACGTTGAACAGGAACGAAATTGTATTCAAAATAACAAGGGTAGGTAAACAGCAATCACTGGTTTGAATAAAGTTCATATATTTATAGTATATACATAAGAAGCTTCTAGAATCTTCTCCAAGCAACGACTAGAGCTGTTTGGATAAAAATTAGCTAATCAGCGTTCAGCAACACCATGCATGAAACATGCTTTAATCCAATCTATGTCCCGCTAACAACAACATTCATTAGTGACTGCTTTTCAATAATATTTCCGTTTTTTTCCTAACTTTTCTTGTCGTGCCAATTGATTGTTTAATATTTCGACATCCAATTCATTCAAATGGGGTGAGGTACGAGAGTCATCTTTACGAAGTCTGCTAAAGTCTCTTCAAAGTTATGCTGTTCCTTGAACTTACTCACCCAGTGTACATTTTGTACTTATTACTGATGCATCACCTGTGGGTATTGGAGCAGGAAGCTAGACCAGTTATGTGTTTCACGCAAACTTAATGTTACAGAAATAGGTTATTCACAAACTAAACGGGAATCATTAGCTGTGTTTCGGGTCATCATGACATTGAAAACTGCTATTGATTCCATTGCTACTTCAACATTTAAAAGACTGGAGAGGGAAGTAGATGTATTTCTACTTCAATATAGAATTGCTTAAACATACTGTGACGAAAGAGACTCTATCAAAGCTATTAAAAGGAAGAATTCTTCGTTCGAAAATGAGGTGTTTAGAGTCTGCAGAAGTTACATATTATCCTTGGAATAATCTTCAACCGGCCAACACGATTGTGGCAAAGAATGGTGGGAATTCTAGATATGACATGTTGATCAAATACGATTTCAGGAACCAAGTGAGTCCGTTATCAATTCTAATACTTATGAGTACATTCTAGACAATACGGAGTCTATATCGAATATTCTGTCGGAGAGACATAGGACGAACTTAAGGAGAAGATGCACAATCGATTATAGAAACTGGGACTCCAATTTAAGCTGTGGCGGATGCCCTGGTATGGCCCAGAGTGGGGAGAGTCCACTCTCCCTCGAAAAATGCTCTCACATGGCCATGAGTAATATAGCCTCTGACAGGGAAGTCCTACTCAATGCCTTCTCGTGGCATTACTGTTGTGTACGAAATTCTGATGACGAAAAGCGAATGTTCGGAGCTTTAACCGCGTTGGTGGACACGGAAAGTCCACCTAGAGGAGTTGGAAAACCCTCATTGTAAACCAACGTTGCACATGGGCTCCAGTATCCTGAGGGAGCGAATGGAGTATGAATCAATAGTTGGTCACCAGCTACCATGGGACTGCATCTCCTCACGATGCTCCACTGCCTTGTGGGTTAGACCTTTAGGTCAAAGGCTCCGAGTGTGGCCCCCTAAGAAAACCACCTGCTTCGGTTTGGGCATCTGGGCAGTATCACAACCTTCACACAAATCAAATGAGATTTGTGAGGCGCATATTTATCTGGTGCTTCCTTATACCAATATTTGTGTTTTAATAATAATAAATGAACTAATGATTCCTTTGTACTTGATGACTTCTTGATTTCAAATTTCGAATACAATACGTCTTTATTGTTTATTTATTTGAACACACAAATATTGGTACAATGGGTCACCGAATACATACGCATCACACAAGTCACTTGATTTGTGTGTGGGCTGTGATAATATCAGGGTGCCCAGACCGAAACAGGTGGTTTTCTTAGGGGTCCATACTCGGGGCGTTCTATCTAAAGGTTCGATCCACAAGGTTTTTCCAACTCCTCTAGGTGGACTTTCCGTGTCCGCCGACCCGGTTAAAGCTCCGGACATTCGCTTTTCGTCCTCTCACTTTCGTAAACAACAATAATGCCACGAGAAGGCATTGAGTAGGACTTCCCTGTCAGAGGCTATATACGCCTGGTCATGTGAGAGCTTTTGGAGAGGGAGAGCAGACTATTCCCACTCTCGGCCATACCAGGGCATTTTGGGGGCACACACTAATATATTCAATAACTAATATCATTGTCAACTATATTTGTTCATATTACGTAAAATGGTCGTTTATTATTATCTGATCATTCCAATAGTTTACATAAATCTATAACATATAATTCATTTGGTATTATAATTGTATGTTCTTAACCATAGTCTTGTGTTCATTGTACATTATTTCTATATTGTCCACTGTCAGTTTTCGTTTCCATTGTTAGCTGTGATTATAGTATTGAATATTATCTAACTTATCCTATGTATTTTTTGTGAATAACTTGATGTATGACCACTTAGTAAAGACAAACAGACAATCAGCAATTATGTAAACTACATTTCACTATTGATTCTACTGTAGTTATATTCGAATTATGTACCGTGTGACTCCTCTGTATTTGTTTTTATTCTTCTTCAATAATCTGCTACTCTAATCAAATTTCTAATGAGGATTGTGTATCACATGGTCTAAAACTCTTCGTCTAATCTCTAAGTATGGTAACATAATGCGCCTATCAACTCTGTCGCCAAAGGGTAGAATCTTTTATTAGTTTTTTTTAATCATTACAACATAATTAAAATAGATGGATAGTGGCTAGCAGTGGAATCCAGGACGCGCGCCACTCCGTCCTATTTGGGACTCGTCAGCTGGATGTACCTGCATCTTAAAGTTGATGTTCACTCCAAGACTCGAACCCAGTACCATTTCGCTTCAAACGCCATCGCGTTATCCACTCGGCCACTTAGTCCTCATAGCCACTTGATTGTGCAATGGGGTGAAGTTTAAATTCATTTGGTATTGTTTGTTTGGATCTTCCCATTGATGTCTTTAGGATTCCACTGCTAGCCACTATCCATCTTTGTTTACAATGTTTGTGAATTAAGGCTATATCGAGGCAATACGCACAGTATGTACATATACCAATTAGAGACTGACCAGCTGCAGTCCTAACACATCGATGGGAAAATTCAAACAAACAATATTAAGTAAATTTCATAATTAATATAGAAAATATTCTTCTTTCATTGTACATTGACATAGTAACCACCCTAGATACTTTATGAAATTGTGATTCATATAATGTATTGCTTATATTATTATTATTATTATTATTATTATTATTATTATTATTATTATCATAGATTATGTTCCCCAAAATCAATAACTTTTTAAGTGTTCGACATTGGATGCTGACCACATTAGTTTTAGTGGACTTGTTTAGCTGAAGGCGTTTGGTCATGCATCCACACCATATCACGTTACAGCACAGCGTGGGAAGCATCTCCTACGATCATTAGCCAGATTAGATCAGTCACTTCTCGATATATTGATAACACATTAAATATATATCGCTTCTGACTTTTGATTTTAACTGGGTGGGCACGATTCAATTATAGGTGTTACTGGTAAAGGGTTGTCTATCTACAATACTGGTGGTATCTTCAATATAAATGTATATTAGATAAATCTTGTCTGTTTTTCACTATTTTTTACTCATTACTCAATCATTTGGTTAAATCATATTTCTTTTAAATAACAATAAGAACAGCCTAAATAGAAAGGAAGGTATTCAGCTAGTAACTAATTGGCAAATATTCATTAACAAGTTATTATTAGGCAGAATCCGACTAACACCTCCTTGTCCTGCCTCCTGGATCATGGCATTCATCCCATGCACGAACGTGAGCGGTAATGTGGGTGGTAGAGATCGGCCTAATCAACCACTCTACCTATACACACAAACGATTACGAATGCTACACAGAGTCATTGCATAACTATTGAGGGTTCAAAAAGATGGTAAAAATGAGTTTTTAAAAAAAAGAAAAGGATGAATGAAAGTGTTGTGTAATGGTTTTGCGTGAGCAATGCAAAAACAACTATCCCGCCCCGGTAGTTGTGCCATGCTTCGATGTAGCACTCTTCTCCAGAAGGGCCTACTAGGCTTCACCATGTTCCTATGGCTGAAGGGGGTATTCAATCATTTGGTCAAGTCATATTTCTTTTAAATAACAATAAGAACAGCCTTAACAGAACGGATGGTATTGAGCTAGTAACTACTTGGCAAATATTTATTAACAAGTAATTACACCATTTCTTTATTCAACTTGTTTATTTCACATGAATCGTTATTTTGACTGAAATTAATGTAGGTTATTTTAGTAACACAATTATGTATTTTTATATAGTTGAGACCATTAGTCAACTGAAGCTAGACCACCATCAAAAACCTGGAAGCACTGGACGGCCGTTTCGTCCTATTATGGGACTCCTCAGTAGTGCGTATTCACGATCCCAACTCACGAGATTCCAGGACCTATCAGTCTTGCTTGCGATTGCTTAACCTCTAGACCGCTGAGCCGGCATCCAACGGTTTTAATGTCTAACTTCATTTTACATCAATGATTTAGAAACAATTTTTCAACCTTCAACTTGCAATTCTATTTTGTTTATTTATTCCTTCATATAAAACATATTAACACCTAATATCAACTATTAATAATTCTAGAAGGGGTTTTGTGGAGATTTAGTATTTATCATTGTTGAAAGCGTGAGTCAATTGAAGCTAGACCACCATGGAAAACCTGGAAACACTGGACGGCCGTTTCGTCCTATCATGGGACTCCAGGTTTTCCATGGTGGTCTAGCTTCAATTGACTCACGCTTTCAACAATATTAATAATTCAATCTTATGCATACATACATACACACACACACCCAATTCATTCAGTCATTCATTTTCACGTGATTCTCATTTGACTGTCTCATGTCATCCTATTTACTAAAGTAAGTATCTAAATACGATTGGATTAGCACAGTATAGATACGATCTTATTGTTAAACGCTTCATATATATATATATATATATATATATATATATATATATATATATATATATATATATAGCTTTGATCTTGATCATCACCCTGAAGAAGTCCAGACAAGTTTGTGGGACGAAACTCTGGAATTATTTTAAATTTTAATCTCTGAGATTATTTCAAATATAATAACAAAGTTTTTTGTTTGTTTTCTTGTATTTTAGAAAACAAAAAAAGATAAAATTATCACTTAGAAACAAAATCAAAATATTTTCTTTTGTTTAAATAAACATTTCCTCTACAATCATGGTTGTTTTTTTGTCTTTTTGTTGTTGTTTCCTTGTTTCATAAGAATCAATGAAACCTTAAGTGAAATTTATATAATAAGAAAACTGGCTTCCTTTTTTTTAGATGCAAATCTTGGAAAATATATCCAAATTATAGTTGAAAGCGTGAGTCAATTGAAGCTAGACCATCAAGGAAAGCCTGGAAGCACTCGAAGGCCATTTCGTCCTGTTGTGGGACTCCTCAGCATCCACGATCCCACATCGCGAGATCCAAACCCAGTATCTATCAGTCTCGCGACAGAGTACTTAACCGATAAACCGCTGAGCCGGCCGGCATCCGATGGTGTTAATGTATAACTTCAACCAATCCACAAAGTTGAGCAACCGTTCACCAATTGTCATCAGTGAATTGATATCTCACAACAGACGTGGTTTGAACTCCACTGGTCACTGAGGAGTCCCACAATAGAGCGAAACAGCCGTCTAAGGCTTCCAGGTTTCCCATGGTGGTCTAGCTTCAATTAACTCACGTTTTCAACTATGAAAATACTAAATCTCCACCACAAAACCCCTTCTGATAATATTATTCAAATAAAACCACAAAAAGAAATGTAATAAATTCAATTAAGGACAATTGTTTATTTATTTGAGAAGATAATGTATCAAATCATGGAATGATTGATTTGTTCCATAGGTCTATTCTTATTGGTATTGTTATGATTATCTTGATCATCATTGTCAACATCTTCAAGTGTCGGTGAATATGCCCATGATTGTTGTTCACTTGAACTAAATAATAAATATGTTATCATAGCAACAAATTGACTAAATGCTGCTAAACATAAAGCAACTCTCCAACCATTTTTTAATTCTAAACCAAATTTATGTACAACAACTGATGCAATAAATGTTGATAAGATACCTAAATGTAAAAAATGAAAGAAAATAGAAAGGGATTATGTAAAATATAATATGTAGATTATTTCCGTAGTATTGGCGGCCTGTTTAAACATCTGGGCTACCTATTCCCATCATCTAGATATTTCAACAAGTTATCTAATTTCGTTTGTTTGTTTTAACACATCATTATGCCTATTAATCGCATAACTTATTCACAGGTGCACTTCTGAAAAGTGTAAGACTTTTCGCTGTAAAGGTGACAGAAGGCCTAATCAGAGATATTGTGGTTGTTGGCAATATGCAGCTAAGAGGAATGTACATTATTCAGATGTCGATTGACTGTACTGCTAACTTCTAACTGGCGATCACTCAATATTTATCGTCAGGAAGGACGAAGAAGTAAGAAACGGAAACTTGTTGAAGTACTTTGTGCTGAGAATTCTACATTGTACCAAAAGCATAATATTGAATAAAGCTAATAATAATAATAATGTTGGTTCTTTGGGAAAAGGAAGAAAATCATGTAACTTTAGACACTATTGGTTAAAGGGATATCTTCAATCAAAAACTTACGGGCACTTTCTCATTCATTAAACAGATGAATGTGGTACATCAGAGTGTTATGACTTATGGCCGAGTAGATGCCATATTAACGTATGACGTGATAAGACCGCCTATTAGAGAGCAGCGAATTATCGATTGGAACAGTGACACGAAAACCGTATGAGCAGTCTAGAATACTTATCAGTCCTGCTTTCGGCCTAGCCCAGTCACTTAAGTTCAGAACAACCTCTACGGTATGAATCATTATTCTTAAAAGCATACTGGGTTTATATACCAAACAAACTGACCACATCGTACATAAAATAGTAAATAACATTTGCACAAGATTCAGCTAAATGTGGCTGTGAATAGGGGGGAACAGTAATTAATTGACTTGGTATAACTCAGGAATGGTAAATCGTACAGTAATAGTCTATGAATCAAAATAAAGCTTATAATAAGAGGGACACGAATATGAATACTTAAGTTACTTAACAATTATACAATAGGAAATATACATATTACATTGGTCCATAAATAGTCCTCGAAATTTACCATTCATAATCCTCTTGGGGATATAACAATATTTATGCTTTACTTCTTTCATATCGTGTTGTACTGAGTCAAAACATTCACAACCGACTGTTATGAATACTTCCAGAAGCTCAAAATAAAATCTCTAATGAAAATTACGCTTCAATATATAGCATTTGCTAAAGAATTGATAGAAGAAAAAGATGGTCGAATGTGCTATTTATGACATATGAACCTTTAAAACATGATAGATAGCCTTCAACAACACTCTTTAGGTTTACGTATTAAAACATTCATAATCTCAAGGTACAACAAGAAAACAAAGATGAATGCCGGTTCAGTGGTCTATCGGTTAAAAGTGCTTTTGCGATAGACTGGTAGGTCCTGGGTTCGAATCTCGCGAGGCGGGGTCGTGGTTGAGCACTGCCAAGGAGTCCCATAATAGGAAGAAACGGTCGTTCAGCGCTCCCAGGTTTTCCTTGGTGATCTAGCTTCAATTGGCTCACACCTTCAACTAGTAAAAGTTGTGTTGATAATCAAATTAATGAAGTAATTTGACTAAACTATCCTAGAAAATTGCTTACTAATTCAGTTAAAACAAATCAAACATATAATATCAATTTTCAATAATAATAGGGTATCAAATAGAATCAATGATTTGTCTACTTGTTCACATTTCATGGAACAGAATTAATTCCCCTAAAAATTACATTCTGTTAAAAAGTCTTAATCAGTAGGCCATTAGCGTTCAGATTGTCTTGCTAATTTACTTTAAATAATCTAAAATCAATAAGATTGATCCGTAATGAAACATCTTTAAATGAAGTAATCTTGATTTTTTTTAAAAAAGGTGTGTAGGAGTCAGGTAACTCTAGCAACTGGACAATACATTATTAGTTACTATTCACTTATCGATTATAGTATATTTGGTTTCTGATGTTTTGAATGACAAAACATGGAAAAAATCGTGTAAAATAATGAAGAAAATTTGTAGCTCAACTATATACTTTCGATGGCTTTGAGTTCTATTAGTTAGTCTGTTTAAAAGTGAACCTTTTTAATCGGTTTAAACATCATCAATGTTTACTAAATGTAGAATTGAATTTTTTCATTATCCAACAGTCATCACATAATAAGCAAAGATGGATATTGGCTAGCAGTAGAATAAAGGACGTGTGCCACTTCATCGTATTTGGGACTCGTCAGCTGGATTCCACTGCTAGCCACTATCCATCTTTGCTTACAATGCTTGTGAATTAAGGTTATATCGAGGCAATACGCACAGTATGCACATATGCCAATTAGAGACTGAGCAGTTGTAGTCCTAAAACATCAACGGGAAGATTCGAACAAGCAATACTAAGTAAATTTAGACATCACATAAGTTTGTTCTGGCATCTTTATTTTTGGATCGGAGGGGGGTTTTGTGGAGAATTTAGTATTTTCACAGTTGAAATCATGAGTCAATTGAAGCTAGACCACCATCGAAAACCCGGAAGCACTAGACGGCCGTTTCGTCCTGTTGTGGGACTCCTCAGTAGTGTGCATCCACGATCTCACACTAAAGGGATTCTAACCCAAGACCTACCAGTCTCGAGCCAAAGCCCTTAACCGATAGACCACTGAGCCGGCATCCAACGGTGTTAATGTCTAACTTCAACCAATCCACGATTTTGAGCGACCGTTCACCAATTGTCTTCAGTGAGCTGATATCTCTACAACAGAACTCCACTGACCACTGCTTATTTTTGTTTGAAAATCACTGTTGGTTTAATCTGATCACACATACTACACTTGTTAAGAACATTTACATATAAAAATAAAAGGTCAACTAGACTGGAAATGTGGCGTAAGAGTAGACAAGGACAATTTGAAACCTAATCACTCTGAATAATAAACTAATATTACTAGGGTAGGTTTAAGATGAGAACAAATTGTTTTTCAATACACAAAAGGGGTTTGAATTTTCGTGTATGGCTAAGGCTTCAATAAACCTAAGTATATACCCTTTTACACTTTTATACAACACCACAAAAGCCAAGTGATTAGGTTTCAGATTGTTTTCACATTATTATTATTATTATTATCCTTGTCTCCTCTTACCCCCCTTTTCCAGTCTAGTTGACCTTTTATAAATGTTCTTAACAAGTGTGTATGTGATCAGATTGTTCGAAATGTATAGCGCTAATGTTTCATTACATAGTTCTGATAATCTTCGTCTTATTACACTATCAAAATTTAACAAAGGGACTAATTGCTTTAAATTGCTGGTTTAGTTATTTTCATAGTTGAAAGCGTGAGTCAATTGAAGCTAGATCACCAGGGAAAACCTGGAAGCACTGGACGGCCATTTCGTCCATAGCATTTCTGTAAAATTTATTGTTCCATTAACCAGATAAATATGCGCCAAACAAATCTCAATTGATTTGTGTCAGGGCTGTGATACTGCCCAGGTTCCCAGACTGAAGCAGTTGGTCTTTTTAGGGGACCACACCCGGAGCCTTTGACCGAAAGATCTGATCCACAAGGCAGTGGAGCATCGTGAGGAGATGCAGTTCCGTGGTAGTCGGTGACCAACGATTGATTCATACTCCATTTGTTCCTTCAGGATACTGGAGCCCATGTGCATCATTGGTTTGGAATCAGGGTTTTCCAACTCCCCTTGGTGAACGTTCCGTGTCCACCAACGCGGTTAAAGCTCCGAACATTCGCTTTTCGTTCTCTCAATTTCGTACACAACAGTAATGCCACTGTGAGAAGGTAGTGAGTAGGACTTCCCTGACAGAGGCTATATATTCTCCTGGCAATGTGAGAGCATTTTTCGAGGGAGAGTGGACTCTCCCCACTCTCGGCCGTACCAGGGCATTTAGGGGCCTGAGAAGATTTACATTCAACATGTAACATTAAGAGAAGATTAACTATGGTTTGTGAAGTTTGTAGTGATTTTAAAAGTTGAATTCAATGTAAGCGAGACCACCATTGAAAATCTAGAAGTATTGGACGGTCATTTCGTCCGAGTATGGGACGCTTCAACAGTATGCATTCACGTTTCCGCATGCATGGCTCGAACCCAGGATCTTCAATCTCACACGTGAACACTTAACCTCTAAACCACTAAACCAGTATTCAACGTTGTTATTGCCTAACTTCGATCAATTCAAAGACGATCCAAGACGAGACGATCATCTAGTGCTTCCGGAATTTTAATCCTAGTCTAGCTTACATTAACTCATGAATTCAACTTTTTAACATCACTACAAACTTCACAAACCTTCATTTCCATAAATAAAATAAAAAACTAATCACTATCACTCATTCAGAAGGGGATTTGTGGAGATTTCTGTATATTTCAAAGTTGAAATCATGAGTCAATTGAAGCTAGACCACCATCGAAGACCTGGAAGCACTGGACGGCCGTTTCGTCCCATTATGGGACTTCTCAGAAGTACGCACCCACGATCCCGCACTCTCTTGATTCGAATCCAGGGCCTACTAGTTACGAGCCAGAGCCCTTAACCGATAGACATTAACACCGTTGGATGCCGGCTCAGTTGGTCTATCGGTTAAGGGCTCGTAACTAGTAGGTCCTGGGTTCGAATCTAGCTCGCGAGAGCGGGTTCGTGGATGCGCACTTTTGAGAAGTCCCATAATAGAACGAAACGGCCGTCCAGTACTTCCAGGTTTTCTATGGTGGTCTAGCTTCAATTGACTCATGATTTCAACTTTGAAATATATCACTCATTCATTCATTCATTCATTGTCACATCTACAAGTAACATTGAATGATAAAGAAAAAACAAATTGTAATTGACATTTAAATGGATATTGTTCATTGTTATGTCTACAAAAGAATTTTTCTTTATCACATAGATCTCTCGTTGAAGAGAGAGGGAAATACAAAACAATGACATCTAAATCCTTTTTTTTGTTGTTGTATATTTTTGA